GAGAGAGAGAGAGAGAGAGAGAGAGAGAGAGAGAGAGAGAGAGAGAGAGAGAGGGGGGGGGGGAAACAACTGTTGCAGCGGAGTGTGGAGCGCAGCGGAGCGGCGTCGTCGACTCAACGAAGGCGGAGCAGCGCACGATCGTGCGACGCGATGGCTGTGAACCTGCACACGCGGTCCTGAATGACGCCGTTGAATTTTTAATTCAACGGCGTTAAACGCGATTAAACGCGTTTCAATGCGTTTGAACGACGTTAAACGCAGTTTAACGAGCGGGCCCGCGGTGCGTTTGTGGTGGTTCGGCCGACTGCGTGCGGGTTCTCGCGAGCGTAGGGGGCGGTGGGGGGTGCTACACAGGGGACCATGAGGCGGGCGGCGGTCAAGGGGGGTTGGATTGCAGGGGGGGTTGGGGAAAGGGGGACCCTGCGGAGGGCAGCGGTTAACGGGGGTTTAGGCATTGGTTGTGCGGTCGGGGGGAGTCAGTAAGGGTTGTCTCGCCAGGGTGCTCGACATGGGGAGGGCACAGCGCCGTCAGCATGAGGCTGCCGTGGACCATGTGCAAGACACATTCAGGGTCCGCTCCCGTGTCTATCGGTACCTGGTTGTCGGCGAGAAGGTCGACAGCAAGGGGGTCATGATGCTCCGTTGCACGTTTTGCAACAAAGTTTTCCAAGGGACCCAATTTCAGGCCACTAGGCACTTCTCGCAGACAAACTACTACAAGGACGTCAACGACGAGGCGTTGTACGAGATTGCTCGACGGACTCAACAGAAGTTCGAGGTCGATCAGATGGAGAGGGTTGTGAGGTACGCAGCAGAGCGTGGACTCGATGTGCCCGACACGGGTGGTGCAAGGGGAGGAGAGGCGGGGCGGTGTCCGGTGGAGGGAGGGGTCGGGGGAGATTGTGGGCATGGTGCGGCAGACCCCACTTTGGGTGGTGGAGGCGGTGAGACGGGGGAGGGCGTGATCCACGTCGATCGCGAGGCGCGTGGCCCGAGCGAGGAGGGAGTCCCGGAACGGGAGGACGTGCCAGAGTTTTATCCAGGCACTGGTTAGAGGTTGGAGGACTGGCGGAGGCGAGCAGGCAAGGGAGCTGCAACGGAGGGGTCTTCCAAGAGGAAGGAAGGAGGAAGTGCTACGGTTGCCACCCCAGCAGGGAAGAGGCTTCGCCAGCAGAAGGTGACTGATGTCTACGGTGGCAAGTGGGTTGCTCGCCAGAAGAAGGCATTCCTTCGCTGGTTGTATTCCAGCGAGGTCTCCTTCAATGCCTTCCCCAACCAGGCTTGGAAGGCATATCAACAGGTGCTTCTTGAGCAGTCTGGCAGTTCCCCGCTTGCAGTGCTCCCCAACCACTGCGAGATTGCGAGTACGAGGGCGGTGGAGACCTACCTTGCGGAGTTGGCAGAGGAGTTGGAGGAGGTGAGGAAGCAATTCTGGGTGACTGGTGCCACCCTCCTCTCCGATGGGAGGAAATCACGAGACGGAAGACCGATCGTGAATTTCCTTGCTGCTGGCTCTCGAGGGGTCGTCGTGTACACGACGATCAATCGAGAGGGCGAGGCGGACGATGCAGTGCACGTCCTTCGGAGATGGGTTACCATCTTCCACGAGTTCAGCTTCGGTGGGCCGCAGCGGATCAATGCGATATGCACTGACTCCGCTTCTGCCTATGTGGGGGCTGCGAGGGCATTGGCCTCGCCGTCCGTGCCTCCTGCACTGAGGAGGATCACTTGGCTCCCGTGCTCCGTCCATGTCTGCAACAAATTGTTGTCAAACATGGGGACGAGTTGCGACACGTTTGTGGACGCGATTACACATGCTCGTGTGCTGGTGGTGTTTTTCAAAACCCACCAAGCCGCCCTTCATCTTTTTCGGACGCGCAGCCCCGACAAGGGGCTTATTTTTTCTTGCGAGACGCGGTTCGCGTCTGTTTACTCCATGCTAGAGAGGTTGTTGGCCCTGCAGGACACACTGCAGGACATGACGCGAGAGGACGATGCGCGGGCTTTTGCTTCCATCCCGTGGTCCGCCGATGTGTGCGTCATGGCGCGTCGGGTGCACCGACAGATCAGATGGGATCCATGGTGGCAGAGGGTGGGCACCATCGTCCATATCATACAGCCCGTCATGGAGTTGCTCAGGCGGATGGATCGTGGAGGACTATACATGTTCCTCATGATTGAGTGGACGCAGGATCTTGTCCGCCGTGTCACGGACGCATGCGCCCCTTTGGGGAGGTTGTTCGCCAACCAGATCATCAGGCGTGTGCAGGCTCGCACACAGCACATGCTTGAGCCGGCTCACTGCGCAGGGTTCTTACTGAACCCCCGCAGGCGACACATTCGCTACTTTTCAGGGCAGGTAGAGTGGTACGATGCTTAGCTTGTGGGGCAAGCCAAGAGGTACATTCTGACGCAGACGGGATTCGAGTTGGAGGGTGCGGAGTACATCCTTGCACGTCGGCAGTTAGAGGACTTCCACATTCAGCAGGGCAGGTTCAGGGATTGGGGTGGGCCGAAGGGGCGTGCTCGTAGGGGCACGTGTAGCGGCGACATCGAGACGATTGAGTGCGCGTCTTGGTGGTCTCAGTTCAGGTCGGGCGCACCAGAGTTGCAGCGTTGCGCTCTTCAGGTGATGCACATGTGGTCTTGCGCCTCTCCAACGGAGAGGAACTAGGCAGTCCACGAGGGCATTCACACGAAGAAGCGCAACCAGTTGGCCTTCGAGAAGGTCGTGCAACTCGTTGAGATCATCGCAAATGTGCGGTTGACTGCGTATCGGCGGGCTGGATGCAGTTATGTGCTGCCATGGCAGGGGGACGAGGGCATGCTGGATTGCCAAGCAGGACTCGAGTTGGAACCTGTGCGCTCGGGGACTCGCAGGGGGATGACGGAGGAGGAGATTGCCCGTTAGGTTGCACTTATTACCCGGGATCCCATCGGGGCGCCTGCACCACCCTCGGCTGCACCACCCTCGGCTGATGCCGTTTTCGATAGACGTGCTTGCATTTTTTGCCCTTACCCTAGGGAGGATGACTCAGACGAGGAGCCGATACCTGGAGCGGCAGATGACCCTGCGCTAAGCATTCCCCGGGAGATCGGCGAGACGCACGAGGATCCCGATTCCGAGGAGACGAGGGCACACACTGCACGACGGGCGGCGGACCGGGCGGAGAGGGAGACCCTAGGCGGAGACGAGGACTTTTGGGGCCCATTCGGTGAGGTCGCTTCCACGGGCGGCCCAGAGGCGCAGACGACGACCCCCACTCCTATGAGGCGGGATTCGTCCATGCACCACCATCGCCCGTCTCGCCACTTGAGCCGGCCACGGCAACGACGGACAGGGAGGAGTTGGGGTCCTCTTTGCCTCAGCGCGGCCTTCTCCACAGAGGCGGGGCAGTCCGACAACTTAGGTTACGATCACCTTCCCCGGGGATATTGCAGGAGGAGGGGGCACCTTCGGCAGCAGCAGTGGAGAGTTTGGTGGCACCAGCGGCAGTGCCGGACGCGACGATCGTAGCCACGGTGGAGGAGATAGCAGCAGCAGCAGCAGGATCAGTGCTGGAGGAGATGGCAGCATCAGTGCTGGAGGAGGATCCACCAGTGGCGGGAGGAGGTGCAACAGTGGAGGGGCAGGTGGCAGCAGCAGGAGGAACAAGTGGAGGAGCAGCAGTAGTGGAGGTTGAGGTGGCAGCAGCAGTGGAGGAGGAGGATGCACCGTCGGCAGCTGCAGTGGAGGAGGCGATAGCCGCACAGGCCGAGGTGCAGCGTGGGGGTGATGACGAGCGCCTCATGCAGCAGATTCACGGAGGAGCTTGATCCGGTCATAGCGGGTATGACCCCGGGTATGGCGAGGGGGTTTGGGATTTCTGATTCGGAGATGGGGACCCGCTTAGACTTAGATTTGTCGATGGGCCTTCCACCTAGTTGCGGCGGGGCGACATCGACGGACCGGGCTCCATCGAGGGACGAGGCGCCAGGACAGACTTCGACGCAGACCGCAAGAGAGAGGACGACGACTGAGTCTCCAGATGCAGCTCGCGACATCATGGAGTGAGAGAGGGCTAGACTTTTGGCATCGACTGACCCGTGTGCTCAGGCGTTCTCATGGGCCGTAGAGGAGGCCAGACGTCGAGAGATAGGGGGGGATTGTGTGCAGGGTGGGGCGGTAGCGAAGGAGGACGTTGCGAGGGGAGTGGCAGCAAAGCCGGTACCCGAGGCTATGTTGGGTGGAGCAGAGGCAGCAGACGTTGTTGTGGAGGGATGGCCTCAGGCGGTGAATGAGGTTGTGCAGGCAGGACAGCGGCGTGACGAGGGGGCTTTAGACGCACGGTGCGAGATCCAGGAGACAGCGACGGGTCCAGTCGTTCCGTTCTCGGGCCTGCACTTGGCTCAGACCCAACAGCCGCAGGCGGTTCAGATGGCAGTGCATGGTGTGCCACCGCCCTTTATCACGGATTTGGGGACTGAGCCGTTGGGTTGTGCCCCCACGTCTTCCTAGCCACTTTGCTCCACAGGAGGTCCGTCGTCCTTTGGATACAGAGGAGTTGGCAAGAGAGGCTGTGCGCGATGTTACCCGCTTGGACCCGCGGATCTTCGACCGGAGAATCGAGCATCCACCATGGCAAACGATCCCTCCGGTTCCATGGGTTTCTGCGTCGCCCGTGTGGTCTGGGTCTACCTGCACCGAAGGACATACCGCGGGACATGTTCCAGGGGTTTCGGGTGACGTTGTCGGGCCCCCACTGCTTCAAGGGTCGGGTTGGATGTCCTTCCCCAGACCGAGCTCAGTGGGTTGGAGGACTGGCTGGCTGTCATGCAGGATTTTGATAGCTATTACAGTGCTGTATTCAGAGGCAGTCACACTTTATCATACATCCGAGTAGTCACGGTTATCTCTCCTGCCAGCGGCGACACGGCTTAGAGTGAGACGTTCGGGTTTATCGCCTGCACCTAACCCCGTATACAAGATAGACTCAAGGTCAGCAGAGTCCCTATCTTTCAGGAGTCCTTTAAACTGCCTTGAGTGTAACCTGCATAAAATAAAGAGGAAAAATAATATGCATCATAGAGCAATTGACACTGACAAAATGAGAAGACCGTAAACATGACTTTGCAAGAGTATGACCAGAGATACGAGACTTAAGAGTAGTACACAAACTATGCAGGGAGCAGCCATTGGAGGGCTGCAATCACTAATAAATAATAATATCGTAATACATCAATAGTGACTGAAAAGATAAAACCTCAATCAATGATAATAAGTGGTACCCCCTCGTGAGTGAGTGCTATCGTCTGGGACTCCTCGTCATTGAGAACTCGTATGGCTATAGACTCTGGAACCACATAGCTGATCTCGTAGGCGCTGCTGGATCAATCTTGCAGATATAGGCCATGCATCTGGCCATCTCCTCGTCTGCGATGCTCCTGAGATAAAGCTCCTCCGCAAGGATGATATCCCCTGAATCCCCGATCAATATCTCAATACGTCCTCTCCCACCAGAGTAAATGTAGGAAACCTCGAGAAAACGATCTTCGTAAAGAGGCTTTCGGTAAACCTGCATAGCAAAGTCCGTCCCGACCAAATAACTATAGTCATCTCCAAGGTATGGGACCGGACCCTCCCCTCTTGGGGGAACAATAATTGTCTCAGACCCAGGGTCATTTGACATGTAGGAGTCAATCACCCTCAAGAAGATACCGTGCAAGAAGATGTGTGATCCTCCTCAATGTCGCCCTTTGACGTCTCTGCTCACTGGTCTCCAGCGCTCCTGTCACTGTCCACAAACTCAACCCCTATGAGTGTCCGAATCGAAATAATCGCCAAGATCAAGGTCACTCACAGAACAGGGCTCGGAATCCGACTCATCTGTCTCTGATTTCGGGACACATGTAATGATTGGGATTCCGGATCTGGTTATCTCTCTGTGGATCCGGTCGTCCTTCCGCCTCTTCTCCTTGCTGCGGGGCTCACTAAGGGGCTTGGGGTTGCATCCGTCAAAATCGAAGAGCACACCCCCAGAAGCTGAAGGTACGCGAGGGAACACCACGTGCAGCCAGTTGTCCCTCCAATAGCTCTCCCTGCGAAATATGTAATCCGCAATCCTGTTGTATGTGGTTCCCTTCACTCCCGTCTCTGCCTCCTTCACCGAGTAGGTGACCATGAGCGTGTGTCTCGAGGTCGAGGACTCCTTAGCCCTAATAGTGAAACTTTGATGTCTCGCATGTCTATAGCAGAACCTCTCAATCAATCTACCCCACTTAGGGGTAGTCTCACGATGTTGGGCCAACTTGGATGGAATGCACGCTCTCACTAATGCAAATACTCTAGCCAGATAGCAATCAACAACTCAATGTGAAGGCCTGTCTGAATGGCCTGACTGCAACTCGGTATAGGGCCCACCTGAATGGGCCCGGCTGAACAGCAACTCAATATAAAGCCCGCCTGAATGGGCCCGGCTGAACAGCAGCTATCAGAAGAAAGGGGCCCGCCTGAAGGGGCCTGGCTGAAAACAACAACAATCTCGAGAAGTGGGCCCGCCTGAAGGGGCCCGGACGAATCAGCAACTTAATCTCAAGTAGGCCCGCCTGAAGGGCCCGGCTGATCAGCAACAATCTCTAGTAGTTGGCCCGCCTGAAGGGGCCCGGCCGAATCAGCAACTCAATCTCAAGTAGGCCCGCCTGAAGGGCCTGCAACTGATCAGTAGAACATCTCATGCACAGAAACCAGTCATAAATGCTGAATGTACTGGGGCTAGACTGAGCCAGATCATTTGTGCAGGGACTGAACTGCCAATGCTCCCCGTGCGAGGGAAAGAATCACGTACATGAGGTGATGCTGATCAGGGAGGAAATAAATCAACGGGAGCGTGATGGTAAATCATCCCAGCTAGCAAGCCTATGCTCGGGCATACATGGGCTCGAACTCAAACGACTATATCTAGCCTGGGCGCACACATATCCAGCGCAAGTGCACATGGGCGCGTGCTCAAATAACTATATCTAGTCTGGGCGCACACGGGCGCGCACTCTAACTGCTATGCCAGGCTTGGGCGAGCATGGGCGCACACTTTAACTGCAATACCAAGCTTGGGCGCGCATAGGCGCACACTCTCAAGCTTGGGTGCGCACTCTAGCTGCAATATCAAGCTTGGGCGCTCATAGGCGCACACTCTCAAGCTTGGGCGCGCATGGGTGCGCACTCTAACAGCAATATCAAGCTTGGGCGCCCATGGGCGCGCACTCTCAAGCTTGGGCGCGCATGGGCACGCCATATCTAGTCTGGGCGCGCGCGGGCGCGCACTAAAAATAAATATCTGATCTAGGCGCGCGCGGGTGCGCACTGAAAAATCATTATCTGATCTGGGCGCGTGCGGGCGCGCACTTAAAAAAATTATCTGATCTGGGTGCGCACGGGCGTGCACCGAAAATAATTATCCGATCAGGGTGCGCGCGGGCGCGCACTGAAAATAATTATCTGATCAGGGCGTGCGCGGGCGTGCACTGAAAATAATTATCTGACCTGGTGCGTGCGGGCGCGCACTGAAAATAATTGTCAGATTTGGGTGTGCGCGGGCGCACACTAAAAAATAATTATCTTAATTCAATCTTTGCTTGGGGCCAATATTCTAGTGTTTGTAATAGGATGGAGTGATTACTGCGCGCAAGACTTGGCCTTCTCTTATAGCCTGACCACTATTGACATCAAATGCAGACTACGTACTCAGTTGAAACAGACACTGGTACCCTGGCTCGGAGTTGGTCATGTATGATCATCACTCGCAACAGCGCACAACTACGGACAACTGAAAAATGACACTCAGTCATGGTGCGTAACAGCACACAGTTGCGAAGAGCAAAATGATTCTCAGTCATAGTGCGCAACAGCGCACAGATGTGAATAGCAAAATGAATCTTAATCTCGGTGCGCAACAGTGCACAGATGCAAGTGGCACAATGCTCAGATATGGTCCTGACAAAAGCACAATGCTCAGTAATGGCCCTGACAAATAGCACAATGCTCAGTTATGGCCCTGACGAATAACGCGATGCTCAGTAATGGCCATGACAAATAGCACAATGCTCTGTAATGGCCCTGACAAATAGCACATTGCTCAGTAAAAGCCTTGACGAATAGCAGAATGCTCAGTAATGGCCCTGACAAATAGCACAATGCTCAGTAATGGCCCTGACAAATAGCACATTGCTCATTAATAGCCCTGACAAATAGCACAATGCTTAGTAATGGCCCTGACAAATAGCACAATACTCTGAAACGGCCCTTGCGAAAATGGCACTGTTCAGAAAAGGCTCTTGCGAAATGGCACTCTTCCGAAATAGCACTTGCGAAAATGGCACTGTTCAAAAATAGCGCTTGCGAAATGACACTTGTTCATAAATTTCTCTTTACGAATTAGCACCATTCAAAAATGGCTCTCTAGTATGGTGCGAACAGCGCACAACATGGCGCAAAACGGTGCACTGTTCGGATATGGCCCTCAGATATGGCCCGGACATGGCCCTCAGATATGGCCCTCAAGTGTAGTGCCTCGCACAGCGAATTGCTCAATGTGACTGTGCAATCTGCCTAAAGTTTGAATCGGCTTGATATTTGGTATGGCTGGTGTGACTGCGCCAGCAGTCTCCAAATCGACTTGTTACTCACCGTGACTGTGCTGGCCGTCTCAAAATCAGCTTGGAACTCGGTATGACTGCGCTAGCAGTCACAAAATCGGCTTGTTTACTCAATGGGACTGCGCTGGCAGTCTCAAACTCGGCTTGTTACTCAGAGAGACTGTGCTGACAGTCTCAAAATCGGCTTATTTCTCAGAGGGACTGCACTGACAATCTCAAAATTGGTTCGTTTAGTCAGTGGGACTGAGCTGGCAGTCTCAAACTCGGCTTGTTA